CTTTGATATGCAAAGTTTTGATTTAACTGGAATCTGATTCCATCAGTGGTATGCTTACGGTTAGGAAACTTGCTGTAGTTGGGGATTGGAGTTGGGTTCTTAGCAACAGATTCTACCCAGTGGCACTTCTGTGGTTCTTCATCTAATGTTTCAGCTGTTGTGCATGACTAATGTCTTCACAACATGCATGGACCACTTGTGTGGCTCTTCTTCAACTGATGTTTTAGCTCTGGTGCATGACTAATGTCTTCACAACATGCATGGACCAGTGCTGGATATGTGGGTGATCGATCACCACAAAAGTGGACCTAGTTTCCATGTGTTGAAGGATTCAAAAACATAATCCCATTTGCTAGGGAGGTTGGTAATTGGTCTCTTTGGGTTTCAGAATCGACAGAATATTTTGGACTCTCATCTGCTTCTTGCATTACAGATATCAACCTGATCTAAAGGCTCAAGCAGAGTTCTATAGTCGGCAACCAATGCTCTAAGCAATGCCTAGTACTCTAAAGAAAACCTAAAAGTAAGGAGAGATTTTTAACAAGTCCAAAATTCCTAACCATGACTAACACTCCGCACAATATGTGGTGCAAATTTGCCGACAGCCATAAATATCGTCGAAAAGATATTTTTCAACAAGTCCAAAGTGCCTAACCATGACCAATGCTATTAACTGTATGCATTGCAGATTTGCCAACAACTACAAATTATTATCCAAAATGTAATCATTAAAAGAGTTAATAAGTACTTAAAAGAATCATCAGGCAAAACAATATTTATGCATTAAGGAATCTGTTGCCCTAACCCATTAAACACAAGGTGCATATGGATTTTGACAAGAGCATATGTAGAAGCAGGAACAATAGTTTCAATTTCCTCACCATTTTTTTCTGAAAAAAAAATCATAATAATATACTAGAATAGATGTAAAGCATATAAATGGTAAAGGAATGGAGCTAGAACTTCTGAGCTTACTGTTTTCTTCATTTGGGCATGTGTCAGAAGTAGAGAGAGGGGTTCAGATAATCCTAACATTCCTTGCCTAAAGTGAACGATAATACAACAACATCAACTGAAAGGCAAGAAAATATCTTGATTATAAAAACCATAACAATTCTTCATTTATTCTTAAGTTTTGATATAAACAACCTTAGCAACAAATTCAATTGTATAATCATATGCAAAAGGGTCATGCATGAACTTGTTGGATTTCTAGAACCAATTTTTACAATTTGCTTAACATCCTTTGTCTTCTCAGTAGAGGTCAGAATAGGTTCTCCATGGAGTCAAGAATGTTAGCGCTTTCCCACCACTTCATTATGACAAAAGACAATCATTAGCACCTACAACTCCCACTAATTCACTTCTTAACCAGTATCTAATACATGTGTGATTTCCTTTATGTCTTTGAAATTGCTTGATAGGATTTGAAATGAAACATTAAAATCAAGTGAAATAATAAAAAACAAAAAAGCAAATTAATTTTTCTTCATTAGAAAAAAGAACATCGTCTTGATAGACAACAAACTGTGCAGAAGATAAGCTTCATAACAAGTAGAAAATAAAATCAGAAATGGATACATAAGTCAAAATGCAGACCTACCAATCAACAAAGAGAGCTATTGCTATAAAATGACTTCAGTAGCCAGATAAGTCAACAGAAAGATGGTGATATCTATTAATATATGATGAAAACCCAAGTCAATGAAAAGGATGGGAGTGTTACACATACCATTGACCACCGACTGAAGTCGGCACTCTTCAAGATTTGTTTTGGCCTGCCGAGAAAATGATAATTCATGTAATTAAAATTGCAGACAGAACATACTCAAAATGTCGGCCACATGTTTATGTATCAACTAGGCAGAGCAACATGCACTCATCCCCTTCTAGGACTGTAAAAGCTCTCCTAACAACACATGATAAAAACCGGATTGATGGGAGCATCAACCTGGGCATAGTGCCACAGGAAACAAATATCTCTTTATCTGGTCATGTAAACTAATCAAAGTCATGCTTTTTAGTGCACTGGTGGCTGGTGTGTGGTAGGAGGAGCGCAAAAGAGAAGTTTCTGACGAACATGTCTTCTACTGTAATTTTCACCACCCAATTGAAAAGATTATTGAGGAATAAAGATATCAATTGACAATGTTGCATTACTAATCTAAGACGAAAATGAAAAAAGAAACTGTGAAATCTAACAATGGCTCTGTAGGTGGACTCAGTAACAATGCTTGCCAAAAGGATCAACCAGCAACAATGCATTTGAAAGCACTTGGATTAGGTTACATAACAAAAATATAACCTAATCCTTCGGTTCCTTCTTATCAAGAAACACACACCCTAGTTCAGTGAAGTAACTCACACGACAGACAAAACTCATGAATGCCTCTCTCCTTGATGACCAAACTCATGAAAGAACATCGTCTTGATAGACAACAAATCGTGGTTGCTGACCGTAGTCTGAGGTTGTGGAAATGAAGGTACCCCGACTCTGACCAAGTAGGTCTCTCATCTCGCAATGGGTTCACTGCTAATCTTGATTTAAGAAACCGTTTTGTTCACCATAAAATCATTTCTCATCTCACCTAGGGCTCCATGCTAATCTCGATTCAAAAAAGCATTTTGTCCACACTAGAGATCCATAACGATATCAAGAATCGAGTCCGCAACAATGTCAAGCAATCGCAATTCGCAAGAAACCAAACCAGAGGAAATCCGCTCCGATCGGACAAACAAGCGAACACCTGAACCCAACCCCCGCCCCCCCCACCCCCCCCCAAGGGCAAGAGACGAACACAAGAATTACCTACGAAAGGTGGCGATCCACTTCCTCGAGGCCATGAGGAATCTGCCGTGCCGGTCATCGTTTCCCTCTCGCCGGCCCCGGGGCGGCGTTGGCGGACTTCTCGAGATCGGGAGCGGGATGGGGGAGGCGGGCCGTTAGAAGAGCATTCGAACAAGCGTGCGTATTTCAAAAATTACATAAATATCCCTCATGAGTCCGCTATTTTCTTATTTATTCAAATAAATTAAGAGCAAATTCTTTAAAAAAAAAACCATATATATATATATTTTTTTAAGAACATCCCCAATTTATTTCTGTAAAACATTTCTTATTTTTTCTAAAATATGAAATTATCTGTGATCTCTACTCTCGCCCTCGTGCCCTCTCATGACGGAGAAGTTTGTCACTCGTTTGAAGCTCTGTAACACGAGTTATCTCTTTCGATTTGATATACTAATATATTCTTTTTCATTTGATGGTGACACAAAATGATCCACTCCTCCAACTTGCTTTACCTCCTTAAGTTTCTTTGAGGTTTTCGTCATCATCTTCCTCATGTACCTTCTTAGTTTCTTTAGCATCACCTTCGTCAAATCACTCTTATTCTCTCGCTCGCTTTTGTCATTATTTGCTCTTTTACATTGATGTCATCACACTCAATCAAAAAAATCCAAATGTGATAATAGATGACAAGGATATCACCCTCTCCGTGGGGAAGAATTCATCATATGCCCTATAATCGAAGCTCAAGTTTATAGAAAATAAGAGAAGCACTATGAAAAGAAAACAAAAGAGAATTAGAATTTTTTAAAGAAATATATCCATAAATTAAAATAGTGCTCTTTAATGCCATATGACATAAACAATATTGTGATTGCTTATCACATCACGCTATTAGAAGGAATTAAGATCATCTTTAGATTATTTTCTAGTTCTTAGACCGATTTGGAATCAAATCGAAATAACCTAATTCGATTTTAGACTCTACAAACCAGAAATGAACCACTTTCGATTCGTTTTGGAACTGTTAATATGATTTGATTTTTGATGAGATCGATTCCGGTTCGAATCGAGTTTAGGCTCGTGGATATATATTGGCGTTCTGTGGCTACAGAATTGGGTTACCTTCTGCATGCATGTATTCTTCGTGGGGATACGGTGAATGACATGCATGGTCATTTTTGTATTCGTCAATGCAGGAGCAGGGGAACAGAAGGTGGCACTCGACTTCCAGTCCCACAACAAAAGGCTGCAGGAACCACATGAAGCCCCCATTCAACCCTAGGAATGGGTACTTCCATTGTCTGCATGCTCCCTTTTGAACCCACGGGACAGGGAACTGTGTGTGAAGAAGCATTACTCGTATGCTTGTAATGATACACCACCTTTACCAAAGCTGGTTATTCTGCACAAGGATAGAGAGAGAGAGAGAGAGAGAGGGTGTCATCTGTCATGGAGTGCAATGATCTTCTCAGTAGATATGGTTCCCGATCCTAAGAATGTCGCAGTTGGCATCTGTACTACTGAATCCGGCATTTTTACTGCAGATGAGTGGCAGGCAGAGCAGGCATGATCATGAAGTTTTGTTTTAGAGGAGGAAAGAAGAGTAGGCATATGGCTGTGTGCAAAAGAAAAAGGATGGGTGATGATGATGCCCTCCATTATCAGGATTCCACCTTTAGAAGATGATAACGCAATATGCCACCAGCCACTTTGAAGGCATCATTCGATTCAGAACCTTAGCCTGACAAGCTCTCTCGATCTATCCACACGCACCTGTGCTTGGCCCTCCCAAGATATGGACATCTCCAACACCACAGTGAGACGAGGGAGAAGAAAGAACCTTTACAGCAGAACCAACCCAAAAGCAACAGTAGTCATCCTTATCACCCAAAAGCTTCTTTGTGAGCTTCCCTCCCCCATCCTTTACCAACCACAACCGCCAAGCAAGTTGATCAAAGAAGGTCATGCTCTTGAGCCCGAGATTGATGGTCCACTCTATACTTGAACGGCTTCATCATCATCACTGTCGGTGATCATTAGCCCCATCCCCTCCTCGGCTATAACCGGGAACTCCAAGTTGGTTAGCTTCTTCGCACGCAGCGCCTCCACCTGCCAGTCGGTGCGCAGCAGCACCACGGCCAGCACCAGCACCACGCACACCGCCTGCGCCGTCAGGAGGCCGTACCACAGCCCGCCGAAGCCGACCCGGAGCTGGAACGCCAACCCGACCGCCACCGGCGCGCCCACCAGGTAGAAAGACAGCAGGTTGATCCGGGCCCCCACGGCCGGCCTCGCGGTCCCCCGTAGCACGCCGCACCCGGTGGTCTGCGGGCAGTTGCCCAGCTCGCACAGCCCCAGGAGCGGCAGCGCCGCTGCCGCTAGGCGCAGGACCGACGCGTCCGCCGTGAAAAGCCTCGCCCACTGCTCCCGGAATATGGTGGTCCACACGACGTGGATGACGCCGATCACCACCGCGCAGCCGAGAGCCACCAGCGCCGCCATCTTCGCCCGGTTCGGCCTCCCGGCGCCCAGCTCATTGCCCACCTGCATGGATCCTCACAACATCAGGCCTTGGTATGCAGACAGCAGAGCTGCAAACATGGCAGCACGACAACAACACGCATCTTAATGTACAAGCTTCGAAGATGACCAATGGAACAGTGTCAGAACCCTGCGTGGCGACTTTTGATTGGTACAAACACTGTAGTAACTCTCTCTTATAGCGCTTTCTAGAAAGCCAGCGAAAAGTTGCCCGATATAGCAAACGGAGAGGCCGACACGAGCGACTCAACCGGCGAATAACCCCTGCGTCCGATGCTCCGGCGCAACACCGTCGATGAGAAGACACCTGCGACGGTGGGCGAACAAATAGCCGACCGAGAGAGACAGGGGAGGACGAGGTGAGCTCACCCTGGTGGAGACGCAAGCGGCGAGAGCCATGGGGACGGTGTACATGAGGCTGGTGGTCTGGATGAGGACGGCCGTAGCGCCGACAGCGGCGGTGGGGTCGGGGAGGTAGCCGGCGAGCACGGTCATGATCTCGTACCACCACCACTCGAGACAGACGCCGACACAACTGGGGAGCGCGAGGCGGAGCACCGGGGAGAGCCCGCGGAGGGCCGCCCGGGACCAGCCCCGCCAGGTGAGCTCGCAAGCGCGCGACACGCGGAGGTAGCCGAGCAGGAAGAGGGCCATGTTGAGGTTGGTGACGACGGCGGCGAGCGCCACGCCGGGGACGCCGAGGCGGAGGACGAAGACGAGGAGGACGTTGAGAGGAATGTGGAGGAGGACGGCGGCGGCGGAACAGGTGGCCATAGGTCGGGTAATGCCCTGGGAGCGCAGGAAGACGCGGAGGGGCTGGAGAAGGGCGTTGGTGAGGAGATCCGGGAGGGAGTGGAGGCAGTAGGTGGCGGCGACAGCGGTGATGGCGGGGTCCTGCCCCAGGGCGACGAGGATGGGGCCTAGGTTGACCCAGAGAACGGCGATGGGAACGGCGACCAGCAGCAGGAGCAGGATGGTGCGCTGGAGAGAAAGGGAGATGAGCTCCCAGTTGCGAGAACCGTAGGCCTGGGAACAGAGCGGTTCGAGGCCGGAGGCTAGGCCGAAGAGCACGGAGTAGCCGGTGATGTTGGTGAACCCGATGGAGAGCGCACCGCCGGCCAGCTCCAGAGGACCGAGCCGCCCCAGGCACACCACCGACACCATCGCCCGCAGGTAAACCAGGCAGTTCAAGGCGGTGATCGGCGCCGCCATGCTCCACAGCTCTCGTAGCTCCCCAGCCACCAGCCTTGCCGTCCCTCCGCCGCCCCCACCCACCGCGGCCGCCTCGCTGTCTCTTCCCTCCGCCATCGCACGCTTCCAAAGAAGAGCTGTCGCCACGAGCGCAGAGGTGACACGATCGCCTCCGTCCACCCGCCGCTTTAAAAAGACGCGAACTGCTTCAGCGGTGATCTTAACCGGTATTGCATTCCATAAAGCGACGGAGATGACGCGACCTGACCGAGCTCTGCATGGTCTATTCCGCACCAGCCTGCGTGTGGCGGCGTGGGGGAAAGCGATGTATGTTTGCGCACGAGCAGGAGCGACTGTGTGTCTCACGTGCGACAAGACGGTGTGGGAGAAGACTGAAGTCTGACGGCGTGGCAGCGTGGGAGCGGGCGAAGTCCATCATCACTCACGTCGACGTTTTTCAGGGTCGCGTCGGTAGGAAGACGGAGGTGTTATCATCCATCGTGCATGGTAACCTGTCATTAGGGTTTCCAAAAGCAAGGAGGAAGGATGACTACTCTGTTCTTCCCGTGTCAGCCATAATGACTGACGACCGACGACAAGATGGTGCTGTTGCACTCGACAAAGGCTGTAGAAGACAACATAAACATGATCTAAACTTACATAACCTTCACAGTCTAAGATCATAACATGATCGAAGCTTAAGCAAAGCTCAAGAGGTCTCATTCCATAGCAGCTTACACGTAATGAGAAAGGCACGAGAAAAAGACCCCACCGCAAGCTGAGCGGTCCTATCTCGAGCACAGTCGTCTCGGTTGTTCTTCTCATCTACCTCAAACAATTCAAGTCCATCACTCATATCACGCTGCAGCGAGTTGGACGAGCATGCAGGAAAAAGACATAGTGATTGACCCCCGTCGTTGCTATCCGCTGCACTCAATGAAGTGTGTGTTCTACTCATCCACCTTCACACGATCGATTTCGTCGGATCATTTTATGTTCTTGTGGATAAAGCATGGCCAACTTTGAGCTGACTTTTCTTGCATCATGAAAGTTCCATCAAGGCTTCCACAAGCACATGACTTTTTATCTCAACCTTACTGAATCAAACCAAGTCTATATATGACTGCATATACATCATCAGTTCTTGGTGGTCTATCGAAGAAATATGTTGAGCTCAGTTTTAGCAGTCTGAACTGATTCCAATGCAACCAAAGTTGTTGCTGGTGACTTCAAAGTGCAGAATGGCAACATCAAAGTGGGAAATAAAATAGACATAGAACCATTAAGGAAGTGAGAGACAAATAGGAGTGCACATTCCCTAGCAAGCGAGCCAATTGCTGGACTTTCGAGTGATGCTTACTTTGCACAACATGTAAGTTTATGTCTTTCTCTTGTCCTTGCACTCGATTCTTTTAAGCAGCAAAAGGTTCTTTGAAGTCACTTAATGGTGCTAATTATTGGAGCAATATAATGTTGGTCAGAAGTGGTTCTTAATGGACCATGTCACTCGTAGTGGATCTACCTAATTAGAATGATCTTAATGGAATATAGTCCGAAAAAATACTTTTGTTTGCTTTAATTGTGGAGATAATATAAGAAGACGGGCAACCATTGCATGATCACCCATTGATGAGATCGTGAGACCCACCCATCAATAATTAGCTGTGGCCATGAGTACAACCTTTTTACTATATTTTTGTTGAAATCTTTTAAGGATGTTTGTAGATGAAATATTCTATCATAGTCACCGTTTGACACATGATAAAGCAGTCCATAGATGTTTAAGAAATATTTTTTTCGATTAATTTATTATAAAATATTATTTAAATATATTTATTTATAAAAAATATTTTTTTTTCGTTAATTACTTACTTGAGCATCGAAGGGATCGAGAAACTCATTCAATTATAATATTTAAATAGATACCCAACTCAATTTTAGCATTTAATCTTTTGATAATCATGTAGACTTAAATCTAATTGATCAAAACATCACAAATCTCATCTCACGACGATATTTTCTTTTTCTATTTAGATGAAAAGCCTCTATCTTACGTGGCAGAAATCAGTGTAGATTCTTCCGTTGAGCGCTCAATGGTTTCCTTCCTCACGAGATTAGGGTTGCATGGACACGAAGACAAAGCCTAGACCGTGTCCGGCGAGTGGCAGGAGATCCCCCATCTTCACAGGCCACCGCTTCCGAAGAGAATCTTTGGGTAGATCTCGGTCGGCCACGTCAGCAATGAGGCGTCGGTGTAATGCCACAACGACGTCGACCTGCACGCAACTCAAAGCTCGGTTTCGATGCATCGGTACGTCGCTTCCCTGTTCGTCCACGTCTCATCGTTCACGTGAACTCGCTCCATCGTCTCCGTCGAGCTTCGTCGAAGCTCCCGGTCAAAATTTTGTCAGCCAAGTGTTCGACAAAAGTTCAGGCCTGTGATGATAGAAAAAGCACCAGAGCATGCCTTGTTTTTGTTGGGAGATATGTAGCACACGGTATGGCTGCACAAACTCCATGTGAAATGCCTTAGCAGGTAAGGTGTTCGATGGAAAGACTCCGTCGCCCTTCCCTCGAGCTCCTCACTGTCAACGAGCTCGGTTGGGGGATGTAATTGGACATGAGTTCAACCCCAGCAATCCTGTCCTGCAAGCCCAACAGCTCCATGATTCATGTCTCTGTTTCGCCACTATCTTGAGGACATCGCGGCAGGCGAGCGGGTGAAGAGGTTTCAGGCCCGGCTATCTGACGACGGCCCGTTATGAGCCATTTCAGCCATCTTCCTCCTGCTCTCTCTCTCTCTCTCTCTCTCTCTCTCTCTCTCTCTCTGTGGAGAATGAAGAATGATGGATATGTTAGCATGCTCTGAAGACTTGTATTACAAGCTAATCAGTACAACACAGCATCTTTGGCGACCAAAGCAAACCCACCAATTCTTGGATTCTTGAATCGGTTTCAGAATCCTCTCAGTGTGTGTAATGTGTTCCATTTCGCGGTCCATTAAAGATGTGTACTCCCTCTGGCAGATGGGAAAAAGGCCCCTTTCAAAGTGGGTTGGTCCAATGCTTTCTTCTTCTTGCATCATTATCTCTTCTCTTTCTTCTTGGTGTGAGATGAGCAAGGTGGTCCTCATGGCCTCCTCAACATATGACCACAGCACCAAAAGGGAGATGGATGATGGAAGACAATGAAGGGGAAGTAATCATGCAAAGCACATAGAATTGACATGCTTTGGACTATGGACCAAATGATGCTGGGGGGGATGAGGAATAAAGCTTAACAATCAACTGAGATGCAATAGCCAATACCAGCACTTGACAGGACAGTTTATGCTTCTTCCAACCTCATAACATCGAATCATCATTTTTCTATGTATTTTCTGCATCTTCCAACTTCCTGTCTGTCACCAACTTGCTCTTCTTTTCTCTTCTTGTTTGCTCTATTGGGGTCAGATCATGAACTCCCTCTTCAAAGCAGTCCAGATATTTGTTTCAGATTCAAAGTTTGTCGAGGACATCAACAAGCATCAGTTCTCTTTCAGCAATTCTCATCTACTACACTGCAGGCTGATGCTTGTCTGCTCCAGCAACAAAACTTGGATGGTGCTCCATGGATACTGATGACAAAGAAACAAGCAGAGAACATCTTGGCTACTGCTCTGTGGATGATGGTATAGAGAACAAGCAGAGAAACAAAATCTCCTGGGTGTTACAGTGGCTGCATGTCATAAAAGAATGGCTTCCTCCAATGTTCCACTTCATTCATGGCTGGCTCAGACTCTCCTTGCAAGCCACCACTTTGTGACATTGCCAAAGCAAGTGGGCAGCGTGGGGTCCTGAGACAGCCAAACACTGATGTGGTACAGGTTGTGCCATGTCCAACCCCAAGCTTAAAATCTTCCAGACAATATCCATGCAGACTTACAATAATTACTTGCAATTAGTTTGCATCAGGAAACTAAGCAATAAACACTCAGGATGCTTGAGAATTTGTCCTGGTTATGCATGCTGTAGAACACTCAGGAGTGAACCAGTCCCTGCCAATTCAGACAAGGCAGAATGAAGGAGATGAGTGGTTTGCAGACAGGAGAACACAAGACTGCATGAGTCCATTGTAAACAATAAAAGCTGTGGCTGGTCTGCACATGGCTGGCCTGCAGAGTCAATGTTGAAAACACAAATGGAGCAGAGAAGAACTATAATCTTTGGACAGATCTGTTTACTCGAGCAAACAATCATGCCACAGAACAAGGAGCTGACTGATGCCATCATCTGGTAAATGAGGCTTCCCATGCCTTGTTTATGCTCATCATCACTCACATGCACATCAAGACAATGTAAACATGGGCTGCAGTGTACCCTTGTAGTCATTCTGAAGGGATCATTCCCTTCAGCAGGCATTCAATTTGGCACAAGGAATTGTATGTGAAGCAGGATAGAGTGAGGGAAGAATGAATGATATGCACAGTTTTGGTTTCTTACAGTAGCAAGCCAAGAGACATTCATTCTCCTGCAGCTGCAGCTATGAGAACATGACAAGCTAAGATGTAAAGAAAGAGAAAGGGGACATGAGGAAGATTCTTCTTGTAAGAAAAGTTACTAAGGCAACCCATATGACAAGAAAGTGCATATAAGACAATGTACAAAGCATTTACAATGATAACAAGAAGCATAAGTCCTCTTTATCACCTTTCTAACACCTCAACCATGTCTTATGAAACTACAGCAGCAACTCACAAGTAGACAAATATAATTTTGACTCCAATAAACAAACCAATCACACACCAACAACAAAGGTTAAGACTGAGCTCTTCCTTTTATTTCTTTCATTTATATCAATGGAGATGAATGACGGTACGCCGCAAGCCGCTCATGTGGGTTTGGCAGAGCTCTTCGCCTTGGATCGGTAAAGGAGCTTCTTCTTCTTAGATGTTGGGTTTTCGATGTTAAGAACCACCTTTCCCGGCTCGCCGATCTTGAAAGAGGTCTTGATTACAGGCTCATCAGTGGCAACCAACTTCCTAGTCTTCTGCACGATCACCGTGTACCCGTCCTCCGCGCTTGGCATGAACTCGGCGCCATAGCTCACTTCCCAACCTGAGACTCGGAGTTCCCACACCAGGAGGGTTGCCTGCGAAGATAGCGAAATGATCCGAAACAAAGCTATCACTAAAAACTCTAAAGCAAGATTAATTCTTCCGAGCACCAATGAGCAGTTCAAAACTAAACACAACCTCAGTAGCTGGTATTTCTATCGATTGCTTCGATGAGGCCTTGATGGTAACTTCGGTAACAGCATCCGCAGTGGTGAATTCTGGATCACTCTCATTGCTTAGTCCTCCAAATGCAACTGGAACTTGCTCGGGTGCTATGTACCTGTACCGAGAACACAAACACACGTAAGGAAATCATGAAATTACACAGAAATTATATTATCAAAGAAACTTCTGTGATCCTCGCGCACTTAAATAGGGTCTCTGCCGATTTGGACGGCCCGGCGAAGACGAATTTGCTCTTGGTCCTCTGCGTGAAGAAGGGACTCATCATCCGACTAAAAGCCAAGTACCACCATGGAACATTGATGAACACCTAGAATCACACAGATGCTACAGGTTATATTTTGCATCAATTGGTACATAACATAGTGAATTATATGTACAGGATCTCAAATTCAACCAAAGGTCAATCTAAGAGTTCTAACAGGGGAATCAATCATATAAGCAAACCACCAAATGGATGCAAAGGGATCGGACTACAATTTTCAGTTTTGGTAATCTGTATGCAATCTTCTAAGCATCCTATGTTTTGAGCAAATCCAACATTTTATTATTCATGCTTTTGTTACTCAGAACTGATAAGAAATTTAATCTCTTCCGACAAGATGCAATTCTTCGAAATCGAAAGACACAATTCAGATGAAATCGAACAGGAACAGTAAAAAGAGGACTAGATTTTACCTTCTTGGCGATGAACTCAGGGTAGTTGTCCTGCAACAGGGTGACTGCCTGCCTCGTAGCCTGGCGATGCTTCCCAAGCCGCGGCGTGTTCTTGAGATCGGTCACCTGAACCATGGATGAGACGCCACCAGGAGTGAAGTCCAAGAGCTCTCTGATGCCCTTCTCCAGGTATTGGATCCTCCACTTGAGGAACCTCTGCCTCTTCTCCTCGTCGCCGAAGGCCTTGTCGTAAAGTTCCTTGTTTTGGAACTCCCCATACACGTTGTAGCACACGGGGTGGCCCTCCCTGTCGACGGCGTGCATGAACACGGCCTTCTCCAGCTCCGGCAGGCCGAGGTCCTCCTGGAGGAGGGCCTCGATCCCGAACTGCTTCCGCCAGATGACAGCGTTCTTGAGCATCGACAAGGCGTCCTTCACCTTGAAGTCCCGGGCGCGGAGGAATTTGAGAAGGATGGTGTCGCTCCTCTCATCGCCAAGGAGGGGGACGCCCCAGATGAACACCTCCTCCGGCGGTTCCGCTGGTGGTGGAGCAGGAGTCTCAGCTGGCGGCTCGTCTCCTGCCGCCGGAGTGACCTCCTCCGAGGCCGCCGCAGGAGCGGTGGCGATGGGGGCGACGGTTTCCTCCACGGCTTCACCTGTCTTGCCGCCGTCGTCCTCGGCTGCAGCTGGTAAAGGTTCCTCCTTCTCGGCCGTTGGCTTCGGAGGCTCCACATCCGGCGGAGGAGCGGGTGAGTCCGTCTCAGCTGGCTTCGGGGGCTCCTCAGGCTCCGTCTCGGGCTCCTCCGGAGCAGGGGCCGCAGCCGCAGGCTCCTCCGGCTTGGGCTCCTCCTCCTTGACCGGAGGTGGCGGAGGAGGGGCGAACTCGTTGTTGGCGAGGGCGGCTTGGACGAGCTGTTTGAGCTCATCAAGCGCTTTCTTCTCAGGGTCGACGAGGTCGGCGACGACGTTGCTCTCCTCCTTGAAGGAGACGGACGGTGCAACGATGGCCTCGGCGGGAGGCCCCGGTTCCTCCGCCTCGGGCTTCGTCTCCTCGGCCGTCTTCTTCGGCTCCGCCTCCTCCTCACCCGGCTCAGGAGCTGGCGCCGGAGGTGTCGCCTCGGTCACCGCCGCTTCCTCCACCTTCATAGGAGCCACCTCGGTTGCCTTGCTCTGGGCTTCCTCCGCCATAGCCAACGAGCAAGCGCGACTTCGGTAGGAGACAAGCAATAGTGGCCGGAGGCAGAGAAAGCCAACACATATATAGATAAACAAATGAATAAATAAATAAATAAAACAAAATAAGGAAAAAACAGTTCATGGATAAATGAAGAAAAACAATTCTGTAAAACATAATTTTGTTGATCCAAAATATATTGTCAATTCTCGAATTTTAATCCATAATCAAATTAATCAATAATTATATTGTTATTATTGTATTTTATAACTATTTTGTGAAACAATCATGAAACATAGAAATTGATACAATACATATAGTTTCTATTAAATAAATTAAAATTTCTGAAAAAAAAAACATATCCATACTTTTTCATTGAAACAACATATTAAAAAAAATTAAATATTTTCAAAGACCAAATCAAATGACTAATTGTCAAAACAATTATGGCAATGTGTTGTGTTACCCACCAACTATTATAGTGAGAAGTTAGTATGTCTTGCAATGGGACACATTTGATGCTCTTCACAAAGAACAAGTCAAGTGATACAATAAATAATAAATACTCTTAGTATTTATTATTTTATTGTATGTGTATACATTAGAGACATTGAGATGTAGAATATTCCTATAAATCCAGCCCATTGTTTTGCCATGGCCTTGGAATTCTTGCAAGCTACAAGACAAAAGAACAACCCATCAACATCAACAAGCTGCCCTCCTTGACTTGCTATTATTGCTCAGCCATTTCCTTCTTTTCTTTGTCCATAAGCTTGTAACTTGGTTTCTGGTTTCCTAAGAAATGTGTCTTCTTCATCTGTCAATTTTTGGAGATGAAGGGCAAATGAGTCAGATCAATTCTAGGAGATGGGAGCAAGATGGCTCATTTGGAGTGGCAGTACCATTTGCTTAGCTGGTTGTGTGCCCCCCCCTCAAATGTCTCTTTCTCATCTAATTTATGTCTGACCTATGTTTTAGTGTTGATAGTTACATTTAGTTGTATAGTTATCACAAGCCACAAACATGATTGTAAAGTTACAAATCTCAGTATATTTAGGTCGCAATAAGACAGCCTTATGATTAGTTGCATCGTCATTACTTATCGATCGTGATTCTAGTAATCTATCGAATGATATATCGATATATATCGAACCTCCTATATTATTCGATATCAAAAAATAAAATAAATTACTATGTATCAACTCATATACAAGTGGAAGATAATCCTCAATGGAACTTGACTTGAGACAATGACAATTCCATCTCCTTCCTTAGCACAAGCAAGTGGATATGGTCCATCCAAGATTTCCTTTTATACTATTTATTAGCATGAAACTTTTTTTTTTTTGGCCAATGATCCCATTTTACTCAATCCTAATATAGGAAGTCCACATCAATAAGGTAGCAGAGAGAGAAAATCTATTGATTTGTAAGACTACATTGAGGTTTTAGAGACTAATTTAGGATGCAATCCAAAAGATTCACAATCACAGTCCTTAGATATCAAAGAGTGTTTAGATATGTCTCCTCTCTAGAAAACTCAGGTCAATTACAACTAATTATAATTAATATTATTTAATCTATGTTAAGAATATACTAATACTCTAATATTATTATAATCATAATTAATTTCTATAATATTAATATCCAAATGATAATTAATTGATGAAGATTAACCACATGACATATTTGTAAGTTTTTAAGTTTTGTATGGATGCATATGCTAAATTTTAATTTAGAGAGAGATGTGGAAAATCACTTATTATATGTGTATATATAATATATACACATATATAACAATGGTAGGTGGTGTTGTGCAACTTTTAACTTATAGCTTATTAAGATGAAGAGGTCAATTGGGTAGGCAAATAACAACATAATTGTAGGAAAATGATTGCCTAAGCAGTCAATTAATTTGTATGTCCTTTCCTTCTCCCATTACTTCAAGATTCATAGATGAATACTATCATTATTGTCTAAGTACTTCTTAATGATTCTTTTATCCCTTCATTAAGTCTACTTCCATATTCATACTTCATGTGAGTTGATTTAAGAAACCTTTGGTTTTGTTCACAAATATCATGAGATTTTGGAGGAAATTTAGATGGGAACATAAACTAAAAATCTGATTTCTTGATGAACATCCTCTTTAGTTTTTTGTTTTACTTCTCATTTAGTGTCCTTTGAAGATACCCTTTTTAGCTTTATGTTAATTACTTCTCAAAAGAAAAGAAAATTATATAAAATGCATTACAAAAAAAAATGTGCCGAAAGGAAACAAAATTAAATTAAATTTCATGTAAAATCCATTTTCTTTAGAAATTCTAACTTTGATTTAGCAAACTTTCAAGGGAATCTGATTAATCTTATCAAAATAAAGGGAAAATTATAATTTGATGAGGCTCAATTTTTTCTTAAAATAACTATTATTTTAATTATTCATTTTCCATGCAACTCCAACAGTTGAATTTGACATTCACAATAAAATAAGGAATCAATTAATCAAAAGTTTATGCACTCCTCATCAACATTTAACAAAAAGGATGTTTTTTGTTATTATAGATTCAATTCATAGATAAAAGAGTTATTGGATGTGCTATACATCTCACAACTAATTTAGTTGCATTCATACTTTGTTATGTCCACACTGTTGTGTAGGGCACAACAATTATGACAGTGATGTTGATGGAAATAATATCAAATCCATCTTGAGCTGTCCCAACTCTGCAAATTTCATTAGAATCTAACATGCTGAGCTCCACCCTCTTCCCTTCCTCCATTTCAATGTCATGGAGCATGGAATATACCAGGGCAAAATAACTTTCCATGATGAGGCAATTCATTGCCCAAAACATTTGATTCCATATTGTCTATCTCATGCACTTGTACAAGGTAGAAGATTCCTCACTAGAAGAGAGAGAGAGAGAGAGAGAGAGAGAGAGAGAGAGAGAGAGAGATTAAATAATGTTCTTGATCTCTGTGTTGGAGATCATCCTCACTGTTTTGCCATTCATTTGTTTGGTTATAAGGACTTCCATTCCTGCACTCTTTCTTCATATTAAGTAGATGGAATATTAGGTAGGCCAACATGAACTATCACTACTCAGCAATCATTCCATTGGTGTTGGTGGACTTATTAGAATGATCTTTCTTTTCCCTTTATTCTTGGCAGAGGAAACAAGCTGATAAGATTGTAGAACCTCAGTTCTTCAAGCAAATGTGGGTGTGCCTAATCATCTCAATGAACATGCTTGAAGGAGTTGCACTGACAAAGATGGGTTTCAGATAAGCTGATAAAGCAAAAGTAGATTTGATGGGTTGGCCATACTTTTGCTTCAGGAAATATCTCAATTTGGAACATGTAGTGCTTGTAAATGGTTTTTCTCAAGAAATGATCATCAAGTAAATCATGTTCAAAGAATTTTTTAATAGACAAAATGATGATCCATATATGATTTTTTTTTATCATATAGGAAAGATAAAAACTTGATGACCAAAAATAACATAACTCTCTCACATCCTTTCCCCAAATGCCTTTTTACACTATCTTCCCTGCAGGCAAACAGAACACAGCCAATGATACATCACATTTTTTTTCCATAGATCAGCCTCAACAAGATCCAACCACATGTAAGTCTGATACATGGTGGATGTGCCTCTTTCAAGAGACAGGAGCATGGAACAAGTTTCATATGGATGACAATGTACATGAACCAGAAATCAAAGGCAGAGTTAGCAGTCTTGTAAAGAGCAACTAAGGTTTTGTAATTTGATGATTAGTCTTTTCTCATTGAGAATGCTTTTGCTGGCAGCCATGACAAACTAAGAAACCTCACAAACAGTAATCACAAGACTGAGAGGAACACATGACCATAGAAGGGTGATAAATTATGCATCACATACCAATCAAAATCCATCAACAGCAGCATCAAAATGTGCCAAACAAGGATACAAGGTTTCTGCATCCTCTCCCTCTATCTTATTTCCATATAGTCAATACCTCCCAAAGATTCATAAATAACTTTTCCTAGAAGGGGACCAACTACTGGTTGTCCGAATGGAATGGAAGTAGTTTTACCCATTCAACTTACAGCTAAGCAGGGATTTGATTCACAAGAAAGCACAAGTGGATGAACAACAGCATCGACTTTAACCTGGCCCGGATCTAATGGCATAGTCTAAATCTGCCATAAGATCCTCAATGTCCTCAATGCCAACAGAGATACGAACAAGGTCATCGGTCAGACCCCTAGCCTCACGAACTGAAGCCGGTATACTTGCATGGGACATGAAGCATGGCAAGCTTATCAAGGACTTCACGCTCCCTGGATCAAATGAAAATACATTGTGAACGCACATAAAGAGTAGCTAACAAGAAAAAAATGCTATCTACATGGATGCTTTCGTCAAAATGGTAAGTGAAGCCTCTGTTGAGCTTCAATTCATTAATAACATAACTATGTCAAATTGCAGCATGGTGACCAGCTAATGCTACAAAAAACATCTAGGAATAGATTTTTGTTTTCTCATCGTATGAAAGGCTACCGAAAAGGGAGGAGAATTACCAAAACTAACAGTTACACTGAAGTACTTGGTGCTTTGCACAATATGCTCTGAGAGAGCTAGTGATCCTGTCAAGAAGCTAAGTACAGAACCAGCACCTTTTGCCTGCAAAGTAAATCAAAAAACAAATGATCTTCCTGAGATCCTTATTTTACTATACACCTTTACCTTACCTGAGAATAATGCAACGAGCGCCCAGGATGGCCAGGAAGTCCGGCATAGTTCACTTGCTTCACCCTCGGGTGGGATGATAGGAATTCAGCAAGCTTCTGTGCATTAGCCTATCGGCAAAATAATAATAAGTGTGATGGCCAACAAGCACAACTCAATGCATACAATATTGAAATGATGCAAAGGTAATTATTCCACATCAATAATCATTGAAATTTGAAAACATAACAAACTTAAAACAACGTTAATGTTTCATTTAGAGAAACCAAATCCTGGTTCATGTTTACCATGATAAGTATTTAACTTCAAAAAACAAACGTCTGCTTTTGCATGCATAATTAACACTCATGATTAAACTGCAAAAAGCATAAGTCATGCCCAGTTGAAAATGTCTCATAAATCCATGTTTTCTTATTAACAGGGTGTAGAAATATAAATACAGAATGCAAAATAAATGTCATTTTATGCATTACCCGATTTACTTTGCATCTAGGTATAAACAAAGTCCACAAAACCCTATTGCTTTTACTTCTTTCATGGTCGGCAAATTTGTCTCCCACTTTAACTCCGTACAGACAGGAACTTAAAGGCAATTATACAGGGACAAAACAAATGGTTGCACCTGTTGTTTCTCTACACGCAGAGCCATGGTCTTGATACCTCGCAAGCAAAGCCAACAATCAAATGGTGCCAATCCAGAGCCTTCCGCATTTTGGAGGAATGCAATCTCTTTGGCCAAGCTGGTGATGCCATAAAAAAGAAAATAGGTATAATATGTTACTTCAGTAACAGGACATGGTAATAATTTCATAGTGACAGGAAACACAATCAGATTCGCTGATAGAATTATTAGTATGGCAGTTAGAAAAAGATAGTAAATTTAGAGTCCCATGATTCGTGGCGCAAGTAGGCCAAGGCCCAGTAGGATGTCATGATACAATATTCTTATCAACGTGGTTGCTAATATTTAACTTCAGAATGATACTTGTAGAAACTAAAAAAGAGTCCTCTATACTCTTGCAAAAGCTACCAAAACAAAAGTCCAATGAGTAAAGCGCTGAATTCCTTGCACAACTTTTATCCATAAGACCCTTCCAATTCCGATAAACATCATACATCATATCTTGCAGCCACTTCTTTTTAAATTTTCTTGTTCTCCATAAAGCAGTATTCTGATAGACAATCATATACATATACATACATATACATATACATATATATATATATATATATATATATATATATATATATATATATAT